AGTTTCCTTTGGAAATGAGGCACAATGAAGACTGTGGTGTCTTTGCAACAGATGGTTTCTTTACATACATATATATGCATATGTATATATGCAACCTGAGTCTAGATGGAGAGAGTTCAGAGCATTCACATTCCAAGAAGGTCTCTTGCAGGCTTAGGCTTCAAAACATAGAAATCAGCCATGTTCTCTGTCTCTTTGTTACAGCCCATCATAGTCAGTCCACATGATGCTCTTCACACTCCCTTCCTCTTCCTTGCCCCCGCTAGCCCAGTGAAAACTATCCCCCTCCAGCCTACATCATCCAAAGTGAAGTCCTAAACCCTTTTTGTCTCTGCCCACTAACACACAGCTGGGGGAGGGGCTTTGGCACTGAATGTCCTGATGGATCATCTTTTGTTATGTTGGTGATTGGCCATCATCAGGTGATTAGTTCATATGGAATCTGGCCTGTGCTATTTCCATCTGGAATCCCTGCTGGATCTGGGAGCTCAGTGTTTGCAGTTTGGCTCCCCAAATATTGTCTAAATTCTAACACTTACTAAATCTAGAAACTATGGGTGCCTTGCACCCAAAACTTATAACAATACTTACTAGGAAGGCAGGCAAAGACTTCCCTTCTCCAGTCTCTGGTGGTCTTTCTTCTTGCAATTGAGTGACCTTGGACAGACCGTGTTGCACATCATAGCCATTGTTTGAACAGTGGGGAGTTTGTTCAAAATCCACATTATTACCATTTAGCAAATGTAATTCCAGTGATTCCAGTTCAGGTTCATCCTATTCATTTAATATTAAGAGCTAGGGGGGAAAGGGTTCAGTGTTGTTTTTCTCCCGCACAGAGATTTCTCACTGTAAAGGAAAAGGTGCCAGAACTGTGTCCACTTGAATGTGTGAAGAATGAGAGGCTCTTTTCTTGCGGTTGCATGTGTTGAGGAGCTACTGAATGTAGTGGCTTCCAAACACATGTAACAATAATAAAATAGACACTTGCACATTCTTCACACATTAGGGAGATCACATTTCTGGCACATCTTCCCCCACATACAAATGAATTCCATGTAGAGGGATGGGGAGTCCATACATAAAGGAACATCCTGCACTCCAAGACTGAGGGATAATCAAAGTCCCTAATCTATTCCAAAATTATCAAGATACCTGCTGAATACCTGAGAATTAATTTTGATCTCCTTGGCTCCAAGACCTCTAGGTCAGTCTGTGTCCCTCCAGATATTTTTGGACTACAACTCCCATCATCTCTGGCCAATGCTGGTTAGGGCTGATGGGAGTATTGTGAGAGAGGGAGAAAAACATTTCACTATTCACTTCCTCCATACCATGTGCAAATTTTATCCACTTATATAATGTCACCTCTTCCATCATGCCCCATCTCCTACATCATTTTGGTTACCTTTTTCTGAACCTTTTCCAACTCCACAATATCCTATTTGAGACCAGGCAACCAGAACTGTATGCAGTATTCCAAGTGCAGTCACCTCCAACCAAGCCTCTAGGACAGGCATAGGCAAACTCAGCCCTCCAGATGTTTTGGGACTATAATTCCCATCATCCCTGACCACTAGCTAGGGATCATGGGAGTTGTAGGCCAAAAACATCTGGAGGGCCGAGTTTGCCTATGCCTGCTCTAGGAAGCCCAAGTCATTTGGGACCCTTTTTGAATGCGTAAATTCATCTCCAGTCTAAGATCTTGAGCATTGTCACATTTGTCCAAATATGCAAACCCATTCAGCATCACAAAATAAGGTGCTCAGGATGATACCAAAAGATGATGTATCACTGCAAAGGATTAGGGGCATGTCGTGTAGGGACCCAAATACACTCCACAGATGCAAACCTCATGTACTATACAATGCCTTTGTAACCTTTTGACCACTAAGTTGTTAGGCTATAAGGGTTGAAATCCTGGCAGCGATCCTACTTATACACTGCAGAATAATGCACTGGAGATTATGATTGGCTCTGAAATGGTTGTGTCACAGTTCGATTACACCTCACAGAGATTCCACTTTGCACTTAATATGATTTTGGAAAGGAGTCCCTGCTAGATTGCTCAGTCTCTGTGCTTTGCAAAATAACTATTCACAGATGGAAAGGCTATAAAAAATTATGGTTCTGCTATCTTGTAGCGTGAACCACAGTCTATAAATATACAAAAGATAGATATTAAATCAAGCTGCATGTGAATCCCATGGAATGACGCCTTCCAAGGTTCTGACATGTCCTCCGGTGTTGCTTCCTTTTCGGCTGATGTCAACTTTTGAAACATGCTTTCCAATTGACCAGCTTATTCTATTAAAAGTTAGTTCAAACTAAATTATTGAAATAACATGCATGGTCATGAATAATTACCTTGGCTTTATGGAAAGTGGTTCCACGCAGGTTGAATTAAGTATTTTCTAGAGAAAGTAAATTGGCACAGAGAACAATGCAAACATCCAAAAGAAAAGCCACAGGTTATTATAGTTACCTATACCCCCAGTACTGCCTGATATGTCAGATTAAACTGATAAATGAAGGAATTGTTTGTGATTATAACATGCACATTTGTGCTTTCCAATCCTTGGTAAATATCATCAGTAAACATCAATTTGCAGTACAGTACATACAGATGTTTCATTAACAGTGCAATTCAACACTTGCCAACTCAGAATTAAGCCCCACTGAGTTCAAGGAGCCCTACTCCCGTGTAATTGAATGGAGGCTTGTAACCTGAGTAAACCAGGAGTCCCAGCCAATTTTTCTCCCACAGGATGAATTCATACTTTTCTCCCTTTCACAGTGTAAATGACAAGCATGCCTAATAGTAAAACAAGGGGTACAGGTAGCGCTGTGGTCTAAACTACTGAGCCTAAACTACTTGGGCTTGCTGATCAGAAGGTCGGCTGTTTGAATCCCCACAACAGGGTGAGCTCCCGTTGTCCTTTCCCAGCTTCTGCCAACCTAGTAGTTCGGAAGCACACCAGTGCAAGTAGATAAGCAGGTACCACTGCAGTGGGAAGGTGCGGTAAATGGTGTTTCCATGCACTCTCTGGCTTCTGTCACGATGTTCTGTTGCACCAGAAGCAGTTTAGTCATGCTGGCCACGTGACCCAGAAAACTGTCTGTGGACAAACGCCAGCTCCCTGGGCTTGAAGTGAGATGAGCGCCGCAACCCCATAGTCGCCTTTGACTGGACTTAACCATCTAGAGATCCTTTACCTTTACCTTAATAGTAAACCAAATGCATCAGTCTTGTCCACCCACCTGCAGCATTGTAGATTTTTAAGTATTGCATGAAGGTTTATTTGAACTACCCAGTCCCCCTTGTAACCGCCCATTTGGGGTCTAGCTGTCCATTAAAAAGAAAAGGAAACCTCACATGGAGGGATTGGCAGGGAAGATAAGGGTTTTGTTTTGTTTTTTAACCACAGTAAGCCTGTTCTTCAACTACATGGCTAGATTGCACAGCCAAGAGCCTGCACACATCTGCAGTGGCTCCCCAATTGTAGGATGCTCTCCTCAGAGAAGTTTGGCTGGCCGCTTCCTTTATACACCTTTAGGCGCCAGGTGAAAACCTTTGGCTGATTGACATCTGATGCCCTTTTAAATGTGTTGTGGGAGTGGGGATTGTTGGATTGTTTTTGTTCTTATTTTTATTATGCCTTTTGTAGTTTTTATATTGTAATTTTATGTTGTGAACCTCCCTGAGATCTATGGATGAAGGGAGGTATATAAATTTAATACAGTCATACCTCATGTTACGTCCGCTTCATGTTACGTTCTTTCAGGTTACGTTACGCGGCAACCCGGAAGTACTGGAAAGGGTTACTTCCGGGTTTCACCACTTGTGCATGCGCAGAAGTGCAAAATGACGTCATGCGCATGCGCAGAAGCGGCGAATCGCAACCCGCATGTGCGCAGACGCGCCGCTGCGGGTTGCGCTCTTTTCATGTTGCGAACGGGCCTTCGGAACAGATCCCGTTCGCAACCAGAGGTACCACTGTAACTAATGATAAGGGTTTACCTCACAGCCAATCAGAGGAGAAGAGGGTGGGCTTTGTATAAATCATTGCCTAATTTGAGCCCCCCTTTTAGTTTGGGGCCTTGGGCTAAATGGGCTTCCTGCCTTCCTCCCTCTCCACCACCACTACCATAGGTCCTGTTGATACAATAGATTTTAACACAATAGCGATTTCTGGCTGCTTCCTTTATATATTTTGTCATATGGAGAAACTTGTTCCTTGTCAAGCTGTTATGTAGATCAGTCGAACACTTACAGGTATATTACACTGATATTCCATTTTCCTTTTCTTCTTCTTCTCTCCATTCTTTTTATGCATCACCCAATAAATCTTTTATCGAGTGATACATAAAGCTTGGGTTGTTTTAGGGAAGGTTTATGGAAGGTTTCACAGGAGAATATCTCCAAAAGAGCTATTGTATCAGTACTGAGATTTTATATTATTTTTTGAGGGAGGGGAAGGCCAGGTTATGTGTTTTTCTAAAAATGTGACAGAATGCAATATAAACTGTTTCTTTGAAGCCATTCTGGCTACATCTCTCAACACATTCTATTATTCACAGTATCCATTAGGATACATTTATCTGGGTGCATCATGGCTCAGAAAATCTGCAATGAGACCCATGTCTGATCAGGGGCATCTACTGGCAAAGTCAGGTCAAGGGCAGGTTCAATGGTCCAAAGAACCCAACAGACTGAAATTACTAATGTTTAAATATTGTAACATTGATTCTGCAACTAAATTATTAATATGGTTGCATAATTTTCATCCAGGGCCTATTTGGGCATAGTACAAAATGTCTTTAAAACATGACCCTGTCCAAAAGGGAACTAAGTGAGCTAAGATGGTCAGTGCCAATCAGACTGTAGGCATAGGAACAAAGGAAGCATGAGTCAGCCAACTGGTCCATCTAGCTGGATATTGTCTCCACTGACTGACAGCATCTGTCCAGGGTTTCAGAGAGAGATCTCTTCCAGCCCTACGTGGAGTTGCCAGGAATTGAACCTGAGACTTTCTGCATGCAAAGCAGATGCTTTTCCAGTGAGCTATGGTCATTTGTCAATGTTTCCCTTTTTTTAAGGGAAATTCCCTTATTCCGAATAGGATTCCTCACAAGAAAAGGGAAAAGTTGGCAGCTATGGCTATGGTCCTACCCAAAACAGGTCCACTAAGAAATAAGAGGGAGCTACCTACCAGCATCTTCTGGAGAACTCCAATGTTTGAAGATGTACCAAAAAAGAAAGGTTGAATAACAAGAAGCAAGGATATTGAGTCCCCACCACTACCTCCCCATGCCACAATCAGCCTCATGCTGACTGAGCATGTTCAGTAGCCAAGTCATGTTGAAAAGAAAAACAGAAAACTTGCAGGGTGGGGGATGCAATAGGCTGTTGGAGGTGGGAATGGCTGATTGGTAGAAACCAGTCCACTTGTGCAAAGCAGCCTTACTGAATTCTCCTGATTTTTCCCCATACACCTGTGGCCCCCATCGTATGCTATCCCAGACATTGTCGTGACCCTGAGGAGCAGCTGTTACAGGAGGCACAGAGTGCTATAGTTGGGACAGGAGCCAGGAACGGTCCGCTGCATGAGCGCCGTTCCACTTGCTTGTCTGTCAATCCATCTGAACATCTGAAAGCCCAGACAGTTTAAGCTGCATCAGAAGACACATATAACGTGGTCATCAATACAGTTGCAATGCTGAAAAATGGCTCCCCCAGTCGTTTCGTCCACCGGCAGCTCAATAAGGCTCCTGCAAATGCAGCCTTGGTTGGGAAACGCCAGTTAGAACTGGCTGACTGGCTGTATTTAGCTTTGCGGGTCACACAAACAATGAAGGCCTGTGGTGACAGATGGATGTAGACTCACCTCTGATAAAGCCTCTAGCATTGTAATATTGGTGTAACGGTTACAGAGTGAAAACTGCTGCATAAGTGATCTGTCCATTTGCTCCAGTAGATGGCAGTCTCTCTATTAACTACAGATCTTCTTTGGAGTACCGGTAGTATTCCCTCCTTATGCAGCTGACTCAGGAGCAGGAATAATAAGGATTCCTCCCCCCCCCCCCCCCCGGTGTAAACACACCCATGTCGTTCTGTCGCAAGGACTACCTTTCTTCTGCTTGTCCCATGTGCTTTCTCAAATTATTATATATTCTGGAACATAACGAACGCGTTGCTCTTTCGGTGTGGAAAAATAACTTGTCCTATAATTTCACTATGTTCTTTGAAGAGATGTCAAACTTATTACAGATGCACCACATTTCAACTTAACAAGCTCTTTTTCTCCACAACCATCCTTTAGAATCAAAGGCACATTCATTTTAAAAAAGAAGAAAATATTTGTATCTCTCAGTTCTTTCCTCTCTCTTCCTCTCTTTAAAATAAAGTACAGATCATGCGAGGGTTTTTTGTTTTTTTAATGTACATACACTGCAGCACTCAACATTTTAATTGCCACTTCCTCCATGAAAAATATTGGAAATCTTCCATCTTGCCATTAGCACTTCCAAAATAGCTGTTAACAATATCTTCTCCAGACGCAGAAACGTTACAATTAATGCTGGAATGTTCTTCAAAGACTATTGCCTAAAATATATCTTATAAATGCAATTCAATGAAATTCTGCTGCTTTAATACTCATTAAATGTGTTGAGGGAAGTCACTTAGCAACCAGAAAAGACCAGCCCACAATCATGTTGCTTGAAGTGGGTGAAAAGGGGAAGTGGGAGTGTTTCCTGTCAAATTAGATCAGGCTCAGTTGAAAAGGAACAGGATGGCTTTAGTTGGGGGGGGGGAGAGAAGCAGGGTAGGATCTCGGGGTATGGTCTGAAGGCGCATGAGGATACCACCTTGCTAAGCAGGTCTGGTTAGTGTCTGGATGAGAGACCTCCTGGGAACCCACTTTGAGTTCCCTTAAGCAGGGGGAAGTGTGATATAAATGCAAGAAAATTAATAATAACTAGCATCAGATGAAGGCGGATTCACTTGGGAGTAAGTCCCGTTCCATAGTGGGGCCTACTTACGAGTGCACTTATATATCAAATTGCATTGTATTGGCCTTTGTGGGGAGTCTGGAGAGGATCCAAGTGGCAAACACATCCGTTCCAGGGAAATAGCATTTTCTCAGAAAAGCACCACGGTTTTGCTACATTTGGTCCCACTCTCCTAAGCTGCAAGAAGTTCCAGCAGTACAGAGCTCTCCTAAACTTCCTTTGTAAGAATCAGTTGTTGTGGTGGGCAGCGGCGGAGCTAGCCAGTCGCCCACAGGGGTGGGGCGGGGTCCTTGGGGTCTCTGAGGAGTCCGCCTGCCTCCTCCCACTCAGCCGCCCTACAGCTGAGGGGGAGGTGGCAGGCAGACCGTTTGGGGCAGCGCGGAGAGACGCATGGCTCGGGCACGCTGCAGGCCCCACGGTGAATGCCGCCCGGCATTTTGTCACCCCCCTCACCGTCCCCACCACACACCCCTTCCTCTGCCACTGGTGGTGGAACAGTGTCCTAGAGACACTCAGACCCTATTTTCCATGTCCCTGATTTAGAGAAGCCGTCCTGGTTTCTGATTTACCTCGCCAGACGTCCCCATATGATGTGTCTTGTGCCGTTGAACTAATCACGCAACATTCATTCCCTACTAATAAATCTATAACACTTAAAATATAAATCTGGGGACATTAAATGAAATCCAGGGACATTCTGGGGACGGATTTTGTCCGGGGACAGATTTGTAAATCCAGAGACTGTCCCCAGGAAACAGGGACATCTGGTAACCATACACCTACCATTAGCCAGATGGAGGGCAGGTAGCAGCCAGGTGGGGGGGGGCACACAGCTGAGGAGGAGGAGGTGGGCAGCAGATGAGGAGGTAGGGGAATTGCATTTCATGTTTTGCCTCTAGCAGCAAAATGTCCTGGACCAGCCCTGCTGTGGGACAGGACAGGGGTGACATCCAGGGCTTTACAAGCACAGTGACAGGAGAACAGGATTGGCTCCACTGGTGTGTCTGCACAGCTCTTACCTCTCTGCCTTCTGGCTCCTGTCCAGGTAAGTAGCCAAGATGCTGGTGTCAGGAGAGTAGCTGTACAGTAGCATCACACCAGCTGCTCCTACTTAGATGCCCAGTTCCAGGAGGTGGTGCTGGGGTACCATGGATCAAACCTAGGGCAGTTATTAGGATAATCAGCTACTCTCACTCCTCACAACAAAAATAGCAATTGGTCCTCTCTCTCACACACACTTTCTTTCTCTCTTTCTCTCTCCTGGTGCCCACTCAAGGTATAGACTGGATCCCGTCCTCAGCAGCTTCTTTTCAGCCACTTTTGTTGATGACCAAGGAGAACCCAAGCTGGACCAGAAGCAGTCAGAAGCAGTTGATACCAGAGTTGATTTGGAATTATCTTTCTTGGACCCACTATCTGGCCTGGACCAATTTCTATGTTTTATTGAGGTGTGAGAGTGGCTGGTTCTACAAGTAAAACATACAATGAAAGCACATTCCACCACCACTCCCCACCCCCAAAAAATAATAATATGGGAACTATAATTTGTAATGGATGTTTGGAATTGGATCTCTGTGAGGATAGTGGGGATGTGCTTTAGCTGTGCATTAAACGTATGGTGTGTACACAGCCTTGGGTGTGGTTAATTTAGTTAATTTATAGCTAAAGTAAATTAATTTGTGGTATTCCCCATTAAGATTGAAGGTAAAGGGACCCCTGACCATTAGGTCCAGTCTCGGACGATTCTGGGGTTGCAGCGCTCATCTCACTTTACTGGCCAAGGGAGCCGGTGTACAGCTTCCAGGTTATGTGGCCAGCATGACTAAGCCGCTTCTGGCGAACCAGAGCAGTGCACGGAAACACCGTTTACCTTGCTGCCACAACAGTACCTGTTTATCTACTTGCACTTTGACATGCTTTCAAACTGCTAGGTTGGCAGGAGCAAGGACCGAGCAACGGGAGCTCACCCCCCCCCCCCGTCGTGGGGATTCAAACCGCCGACCTTTTGATCAGCAAGCCCTAGGCTCTGTGGTTTAGTGGGATGGGGTACGTGCTGGGAACTGGGAACTATGCAGCAATGCCTATCAGTATTGACTGCTGATGGGGCCATCTCCATGCGTGAGGCCTGGGGCAATTGCCCCCTCCTGAAAAAGGCCAATTCAATGTGCTGATTTTTGACCTTTAAGCCATATGTAGCTTGGGATCAGGTTACCTGAAAGATCATGTCCCTCCTCCTATTTGGAGTTACCTTCACCCATCTACTCACTGCTAAAACAGCTGCCTAGAAGGGCCCTAGAAAGAGCAGCAAGTGGCTGCACAGAGGGATCAGGCTTGTGAGGAACCCATCTGATTCACCAAGGCCCTCAGCCACTTCTCCACTGGACTGATCAATGGCACCAGGCCTGACCTAGACATTGCTCAGTTCTTGCCTAAATAGCCCGGAACAGCGCAGCATCTGGGGCATTCTGGAAAGAAAAAACGGAAGTGGCCAGGAGTGACTGCCAGAATCAGTTCTTCGTTGGCTGCAGCCACCAGCAAAGAAAAAGAAAAGAAAAGAAATTGAAAATGAAAAGCACAACCAAATGAAAGCAAGAGAAAAATTGATGAGCATAAGTAACTAAACAAATGTAATATTAATGAATAAAGGATGAAACCAATGTGAATTTAATGACTACTAAATGAAAGAAGACTTTAAAACAAGTAAAGAACTGAATTGGAGTGGGGGGAGGTTTGTGCACATTCACAGCATTACTAGAAGAAGTTTCAGTCTGCCATTGCTGTAGCACTAAAAACAAAAACACTTTTGTTTTCTAAGGTTTGGGGGAAGAAAGGTCAGAAATCCTTACTTTCTGACATCTGATGCCCTTTTAAAATGTGTTGAAGGGTTTATTGGTTATTTTTATTTTTGTTTTTATTACATATTTTGTGTTTCCATGTTATGATTTTATGTTGTAACCAACCTGAGACCTGTGGGTATAGGGCAGTACTACTACTACTACTACTACTACTACTACTAATAATAATATACTTCAAACCTGTCATTGAATTTAACATGACTC